ATTATGTTCCCTAGAAAAGTGTTTCTCAGCCTTTTTCTTGTGGCTCATTTTTGGTGTCAAAAAAAATTTCAGTCTTACATAAGCACAAATTTTTTAGAGAATTAAAAATGGAGAAAACATGAGTGATAGGTAAATATAAGAAATTGTCTTTTCAATAAACAGATCCAGCCTTTCTTTTACTTCCAAAATAATTCTGAGGTTAAAAAAAAAACAAAAAGAGTAATTCTGAGATATATGAGTCAAAAGTCATTTTTCACATTCATTAGTACAGTTCAGAACTTTACTTTATACTTTGTTACATCCACAGAGTCAAATATCCTTTATTCTCCCCCATATTCTAATTGTAAGGTAGAAGTTCCCCTCAGCTTTTACCTAAGAATTGCTACTTCGTGAAACAACTCCCACAAGGGTGCTTCCCTGAACACTACACTCTTAACATCTTCGAGAGTCAATCATTATCTATCATTGTAATCCTTGTTTCCTACCACCTTTTTATTCATATCATATACCTCATTCAATAATTCTCTACCTTGAGTGGCACTTGTGTTTTGACTTGAGTGAACTTTAACAAAATTTTGTTTTTGGATCTTTTCAGCAGCCATTATTTTGCAAAAATTACAAAAAAATTCATTTTTTATACAAATTAAAAAAAATTCATTTTTGCATTAATCTTAGCATTGATAAATTTAATGCAAAAACTTTTGTGCACTTGTTGGACATAATGAGCAAGGAGGGCTTGGAAAATCTGACACTCACAGGATAGATTGATGGAAAGAGGGACAGAGTGTAAGATACTTGATGGCAAATGGATAGCAGAATAGGGTTTGGGAGAAATAACAAAAAGAAAAAAACTTATTAATCACTACAAGGGACAAGATATGTAGGGCCACAATCGCATCCATCCTAAACAGACATGCTGCATAAATGAAATAGTCTCTTCGTATAGGCAAATTTGAAATATGGCTGTTATTTAAATTTTGCTTTTTTTTTCTCGCGGTTTAACCATGACTTAAAATTCAGCAAAGTTGAATTTTCAGTTTTTAAATGAAGATTATCTTTAAAATAAAATTAAAAGAAAACTATTATCAGCCTGTGAAAAGACCCATGAAATATAGGAAAAATGAATAGGGACAAAAAAAAAAAAAAAAAAAAAAAAAAAAAAAAAAAAAAAAAATAGAAAAAAAAAAAAAAAAAAAAAATGAATAGGAAAAAAAAAAAAGAAAATGAATAGGAAAAAAAAAAAAAGAGAAAATGAATAGGAAAAAAAAAAAAAAAAGAGAAAATGAATAGGAAAATGAATAGAAAAAATTAGAATGAAGAAATAATGAAAAATGAAAAAAATAACATCAACTAAAGACAGAAGGAAAACTGACAAATGAAAACATTGTAAGAGTACAAAAAAATTAAAACAAAAAAAGGGACACTATAAAGAAAAATAATTGTTAATTATATAAAAGTCGGGTGTGATTTAGATTTTCAATCTATGACTGAACAAGTTACACAATAAAATGGTTTTAAAAAAAAAAAAAAAAAAAAAAAATATAGTTATAAAATATGAATCAAAAAGTGGAGGAGATTCGAATTATTAAATGAAAAATTAAATCAATTTAAAAACAAAACTTTGGAAACCTGGTGCATGTATTTATATGGAAGGAGTGGGGATAAGAGAAACCATTAATTGACACTTCAAATGAATTTTACTCATTGGAAAATTAAGAAAAATAACTAATTGCGTTTGATTTGTTTTGTTTTTTTTTTTTTTTTAAATATTTTGTTTAATTTCCAGACAAACGAATTATACTAAAAAAAACTGAATGAAGCATCAAACAAGAAATCAATACAAAAATTCAGCCTCAGAATTTGGAAGACAACACAAGAGAAGCAATTCATTCAAATTCAACCTCCAATGACCAGGTTCCAAAAACTGATCATTTACTTAAAGGCTATTGTAAATAATTATTGGTTTCTTTTTCTTACTGTGCAACAAGCAATAATTACAATTATATTAAAAAAAAAAAAAAAAAAAAAAAATCAAACAGATTTTTAATTTTGTGCAGGGAAATCTACAATTTAGAATTAATGCTCATTCATTTGGAATAGACTATAAATAAAAGATCTAAGTTCAATAGATTTATTAAATATCTGACCCTAATGAGGATTTAGTCAACTAACCAAATAAGTCACCTTGACTTTTAATTTGTTCCTTTTCTCTCATATATAACACATACAGATTTGTATATGTTAGACAGTCAAAAGATCATTTCAAGCATGAAATAACAGTCACTAAATAAGAAAAATTATTCATTTGTTTTAAAAACTATAATCACCTTTATTGACTAAAAAAAGAAATTTTTTCATATTTTCATCTTAACCGTCTTTAATCATTTTTAGCTGGGGTTTTTGGCCTTCAAATATTTAGTTTATTGCATTTTTTTAGCATTATTTATTTATCTGCCATTTGTTTTTGTTTTTTTAAACAAGAAGGACTGAAAAATGACATCAAACAGACCATTAAAACCAACGAGTTTTTAATGGTTTCACCGAGATCTTTTTTGGATGCTAATCAGAATAATTTTCAGAATAAAATGTATCAGAAGAATTTTAGACAATAAGGAAGGTTGAAGACTTCCAAAGTAGAATGATAAAACCTGGTCTGAATATTTTCTGTCGGAATTTCTAGGATGAGGAGTTATTTACACACGGACTATTGTCCTCATCTTCATTGTTATCACAACAACAAAGAGGAGGAAAATAGTCTGCATGTAAATACTGGTCTGAATGATTTGCAGACCATTATCATCTTGATTGGTTTCCTGCCACTCTGCAGATAAAAGTAAACAAAGATATATTTGGAATGCTAACAAATACCTAATCTTAGTATAATAGCCACTTTTCTAAACAGCATTAAATTAGGTGGATAGTGGGGCCAGCCGGCTGAATAGAATTTCCAGGGGATTAACCCATTGACTGCAGATGATTGGAATTGCTGTTGTTTGTAGCTGATCCATAGAAGTGCAATGATGGAAATTCTTGCCATCCACCACTAATGGGTTAATGATTATAAACAAGACTGTTGTTCATTAAGCTGAAAAATTCCAGAGGTCAGAATATTAGAATGAAGAGATTAAAAATCCTTGATTCAATTCCCAATTTAAATTTTAAAACTTATTTTGCATTGGCAATATTTTACTTGATCCATTAAGTGTTTCATTTTATGTTATATGCTTTGATAAATACAAATAAAATTTGTTAACTCCTTGCTATAAACAAAGTGAGTAGGAGAAAATATAGAGGTGTCTGGTTCAATCCTCAGGTTTGGAATGAGCAGTATAGACTATGAAAGTTAATGACAATGGTCATAAAAAAGATAGAAATACTTAGATCAAAAGATAGGAAGTTGTGGAGAACTATGATTTCACATTCTGAAGCGACATAGAAGACAGACATTGAAGAATATTTCATATGAATAATAAACAAGTTTCTTTTCTTGGATAATATTTATTAGTTTCTAAGTTATTAAATTAAAAGTGACAGGCCCATGCCATCTTAATTTGCTTCAGACAAATGAATGATGTCATATATCATTTTTTTCTCATTCACTTATACCATGGGATGTTGTGGGGGAGATCCTGATTTTATCTTTTTATCAGGAACTCCTAGTCAAGGTAGTAAAGGAAAGAGGGAAGAAAGGACTAACCATCAATAATAAGACAACATATGGTTTGTTAGAAATGAGATCAAGCAATGTCAGAAATCAAACAATGGGAAGCAATGTGTTATGAAATGCAATGTGTCAGAAATCAAGCAATGTCAGAAATCAAGCAATGTCAGAAATCAAGCAATGTCAGAAATCAAGCAATGTCAGAAATCAAGCAATGTCAGAAATCAAGCAATGTCAGAAATCAAGCAATGTCAGAAATCAAGCAATGTCAGAAATCAAGCAATGCAATGTCAGAAAGAATGTCAGAAATCAAGCAATGTCAGAAATCAAGCAATGTCAGAAAAATCAAGAAATCAATGTCAGAAATCAAGCAATGTCAGAAATCAAGCAATGTCCAAGCAATGTCAGAAATCAAGCAATGTCAGAAATCAAGCAATGTCAGAAATCGAAATCAAGCAATGTCATCAAGCAATCAGAAAGCAATGTCAGAAATCAAGCAATGTCAGAAATCAAGCAATGTCAGAAATCAAGCAATGTCAAAGTTAACTGAGAAAAGTTATAATGGACAATGGGAAGGTTAACAGAAATTTGAAGAAGCATTGGAAAAACGAAAGTAATAATAAACAAGATTTCAACAGAAACAAAGAAAAGCATGTGGAAATTCTATATAATATCAATTGTCCTATATGGCAGTGAATACTGGACAATATCTTCACAGAGGAAACTTGAAGCAACAAAGATGTGGTTCTACCGATGCCGAGAATACTATGGATGAAACAGGTAAGCAATGAAGTTTTTCAGGAAAATGGGTATGAAAAGTGCACTTGTCCTTAGGGACCAAACAGAGACAGTTGAAATGTTTGAAACACACTGAGGAAAGAAGGCTTGGAGAATTTGACATTCAAATGACAGACTGAAGGCAGGAGAGGTAAAAGGAAACAGCAAGTGACCTAACAAAGTTAGGTAAACAGATAACAAAAACATGGACTGGGATGGATAGTAAGCAGCAAAACATTGTTTCAAGCTACAAAGGATAGAAAATGGTCGTTTTGATGGATTCATTCATTTTCTATGGGTTATCAACACTTTGTACGTTATTTAAAGCCAGAAAATGTTTTTAATTTCTAAAATTTTTTTTGGTGGGGGATATTAATTGTTCAGTGATACAAGTCTTACTAATTAACCACTAGCTGGGAGGGGTGGAGAAAAGTTGAATTCACACGTTTCCTAATTGTATTTGCATATAAATGAATATAACGAACACAACTAGAATTGGAACTCGGTTCTTCAATTTACAATTCCATGCCATTATCTATTACACCACCCACACATACAAGCTAACTGCACCAAGTATTACCAAGCAGTCACCCATCTAAGCACTGGTCAGGCTCGATGTTGCTTAACTTCAGCAATTGTACGGGAACCAGTGTTTCAGCATGATGTGACCGTAGGTCATCATCGAAAATGATGAGCAAGTGAATGCATCACATGACAGTGAGAAAGATGAATAGTAAAAGAACACGAGTTGCTTAAAGTGACAAAAGACAGGAAGTTGTGAAGAGCTATAATCACCCACATCCTCAAATCCCCATAATACTCCTTTTACCTAACAATTCTATGGATTAAACTGTATTAATTCTTTACCAGATTACCACTTGTCCCAATATCTTTGAAAAAAAAAAAATAAAATAAATATTTAGGAATCATAGGCATATCCTCATATTCTACAGCTCTTAAGATCTGTATCCAGTCAATATCTTAAAAATATCTTGCATAGTATTAATGTAACAAGGCAAACAATAAGAGAGAACTTTACTATGCATGCATGAACAGACACTCTCCCATTGGGTTCCTCAGTCAATAGAGAGATGCTACTTTGATTTGGATTTTTAGGCACAATGTTGTAGCAATGACATCTGACAGATTTGTCTTCTTACAAATTCTGGTTTTTGCTGTTGCAAAAAGGTTTCAGACTGTAGATGATATTAACGATAACCTGAGGCAGCTGATGGCAAGACCAAAAGGGGATTTTGATGACTTTTGAAAAAATGTAAGATGCTACAATAACGATATGAGGTCACAAGAGCAGTAATTTGAAGGGGACTAAGGTTGGCCCTTTCTTTTTTTTGTCATTAATGGGTAACTGTTTTCTGAAGCAAACAAATACTTGTATCCACTTTTAGTGTCGTCATAGGAACAGCTACACCAATTATTTGACAGCTTTTCTAATTTCTTATTTTTAAGAACAGTTGGAGAAGAAGGGCTTGGAAAATTTGACACTCAAAGGGCATATTGAAGGTAAGAGGGACAGAGGAAAGCAGTGAGTAACCTACATAAGTTTGTGTAAATGGATAGCAGAACAGGGATTAGGAGAGACTAGCAGTATAACCAGTCTTCGACTGGGAATTTTTGCCGTTCATTTGGAGCAGTTTAAGTTTAAAGTCAGCTGACCTGAAAATCAATATTAGTAACAACAATTGGGTGCGACTGAGGCACATCCCCAAAGGGAGGGATTAACAATTTTAATAGGGGGAGGGGAGTTGTATGTATGTGAAAAGGGCCGTTTTTTTGTTCTCAATCTTGTTTCAGCCACACGCGCAGCAGCAGTTGAAGAGGTGTTTCTCCTCAGTCGCTGAGTCCTTTGATCATCATTTTCAGCCTTGTGTGCAGATGTGTTTAGATGAAAACTTTGGAAATGCATAAACGACATCCGATCACACACATACACATTGAGAATTATAGATATAGATATTATTGTAATAATTTAAACTATTTATTTTTATTAAAGTTTTTATGAAAGATATATATCCAAGAACAGATAGTAAATAGTAAAACATTGTGGAGAGTTATAATGGACAGGAAATAGTGGAGAGCCATTGCTGCCAACAATTTGGACTCAAAACCGGCACTGAAGAATTATCTATCAGAGAAAAAATTTCATCAAAATCAGATGAAAACTGGAAACACATAAACAACATTCAATCACATGCACACATAAATACACACACACACACACATTTTGAGAATTATAAATATAGATGAAAAAAAAAAAAAAAAAAAAAAAAAATTGACTAAGAGCTATCAAGGACAAGAAGTGGAGAGGCATGTGCCAATATCCTGAAGAGGCATGGCACACAGAAGGGGTTTCCTTAAATGTCAGAATTTGGCCTTCTTTTGTTTAAAAAATAAAAAAAATCAACACGCTATTTACACAAAGAGATCAGATTCAATCATTTACATTATTAATAGTCAGGTTAATATCCTCATTTTTGTTGTCATTATAGACAAAGGTACAAAAATATTTCAAATTTTGGCAGTAGCAATTCCACAGAGTGAAACAGAAAAGAAAAATATGGTATATAAAAGTGACAGTTTTACCTATAATTATCGGAACACTTGGAATGGTTCCAAAGACTTGCCAGTATAAAATGATAATAGAATGTGCTGCAGAAATACTTCCCACATAGTGGTAAGACATTAGTAGCAATGGTGTCTTTTATCAAACTAATATCTTACCATTATGTGGGAGATATTTTTGCCACACCCTATAGAAATTTAAGCAAATCCTTCACAGCTAGGACCCACTATGTCCTATACACTGCATCAAATCCTAATTCCCTTTATAATCCATTGGTAAACTAAAGAGGAAGTTCCATTCAGACAAATTCTTGTAGAACAGACTCCTGAGAGGATGCTTCCTCTAGACACTACAATCTTAACCTCTTCAATCAAGGGTCACTCAATATCTATACTACATATCCTTATAATATGCACCTTTTCTTCCTTGCAACAATCTCATATAATAACTCTCTACCTTGAGTGGCTCTTTGGCATTATAGTTGACAAACAATAGTTTAAAAAAAAAAAAAAAAAAAAAAATAGAAAAAAGGTATAAATATCAAGTAAGACTGAAAAGACTTAACATTTCACTCCAAATTCATGCCACCAAATAAAAAGGTACAGAATTTGTAGGTCAGTTTTAACAATAAAAATATAAGTTTATCATCATCGACACTATGACTACAATAATCTTTTTTCCTCTTTCTGACTAAATAAGAAGTAATAACATGTGGTTCTTTTACTGAAGATTTCCCTATTATTTCATTAAATCACAACAAAGATGAAAAAAGTAACAATTATTTAGTGAAAACTAAATAAAAATGAAAAGGTTGATTAGTTCTGTGGCAATGTCCAAATATTTAAACTATTTTTTTTTTTTGTTTTTTTACAATAATGCTCACCCATTACAAGACCTGGGAACCACCCCAGGTAGAATGTTACAGTTCATGGGAATATGTGAGAAAGATAACAATTGACTTGAACAGGCCAAGATTTTAGTGATCAGGGAAACATCCTCTTTAGATGGTTTGGTTTGGTTTTATGGTACATCAACCTCAATGGATCATTTAATGCCGACAATCTCTTCCCCCACCCCCGGTAATATTTTTGTTTTGTCAAAAATCTATTTCTGTTAATATTTTTTTTCCTTAAAAAGGTGTAGCTGGTAATATTATTTTTTCAAAAATGTATAGCTGGTAATATTTTTTCAAAAACGCAACACTATTTTTTCAAAACGAAAAAATACAAAAAAAAAAAACATAGATGGCAATATTTTTCAAAAACGTACAGCTTGCAACATTATTTTTTTCAAAAACGTATTATCAGAGGCCTTGCTATTGGACGTAGTTCATCGTCCCACCCAGGATGCGGATGTAGTTTATCCTTGGAGTTGGTTCCACAAAGCAGCGGTTTAAGGAGCTGCTTGAGGGAAACTCCCAATAGAATACGAAGGAAATGAGGGTGATTCACTCTAAAATGTGAATGGCACAATGGGTCTTTAGCCGTTAAGATTCCGAAAATTGCTGCAGATCTTAAAACAATTACAAAAACACTAAGAAAGAAAAATGGAAGAATTGTAAAAAATTGAGGAAGAAGTTGCTGTCACATGATCCTCAATTGCTATCATCTAACCACCCCTGCCCCAATACACGCAATCAACACTACACATTAAATGAGCGTGTCAATATTTTGTTCATGTCATATAGAGTTAAACAACTTCCCTTACCACAGTTGGTTCGTTATTGATGTGTAGTCTCTTAAAAAGTCTGTCATCTCCTTACGTACAGACACGTATGCGATTACAAAACCTGTTGTCATAAATGTGGGTACGAAGAAAAGAGAGGCTTTTTTATGTTTTTTTTAGTCTTTTCGATAATAATTAATCACTTAATTAAATATTCGGCTTAGGAATAAATGATTTATTTTCGTAGAGGATTAATTAATAATTCAGGTAAGGCAATCTTTTCCCCCCGGGAGAGTCACAGGTAAAAAAAAAAAAAAAAAAAAAAAAAGGATGAAAGAACAGGTTTTAGCATTAGCTCTCATCCGGAGAAGCACTGGCTAGAGATCATTTTAGTTTCCAGGATAACAGGAGCTCTAACTTTTGTTTTCGCCAAAGGAACAATGAAAAAATAAATGTTTGTCATTTCTTGTTCAGGTGTGCAAATTGTGAATAGGGTTACAAAAAAAAAAAAAAAAAATTCTTAAATTAAGTGTTCAAGCTGAAGTCACAAAACTTACTCAGCTTGGACAGTCACACTTCTAAGACCAAAAAAAAAAATGTAAAAAGAAAAAGTATTTTACAAGCAGCAAACAAAAATGTAGCTGTTCACAATATGGGAAGCCATGAAGCAATAATTGCAATACGTTTTTTAAAAATATCATTTCCTTTATAAATTCCAGTAGAACATTGAACCAAATCATCGGTGTTTCAAATCAATATTGAATAATATTAAATTAAATTTCAATTCAGTAGAAAACTCGACTCATTCAACGCGTTCCAAGACAAAACGCGGCGCAAAGATAAATATTTTTAAGCTTACTTTTAAAGAATTATCCTTACCTTATCTAACCAAGAAAATATTGGTAAATAAAGAAATACTAAATAAATAAGTATGCACTAATAAACAAAAAAAAAATGTGCAAATAATCTTACCATGGAGATGGACTCGAACCTGTACCTCCAATATAGCAAAGAAAAACAAACTTTGTATTTGAATCTCCTTGGAGCAATAATCAGCCCAGATAGATTTCTGTCTGTCTATCTACACTCAGTGCACCTATTAATTTAAAAAGTAAACGATATCACGTCACGTTTCTACCGACTGATGATAATGATGAAGCTACTAAAAATAAATGCTACTGAGAGGCCGGGGGGGCGTTATGTAAATATACAAATTAATAAGTGGACTAGAAAGTGCTTTTTAATTACTGCTAGCTGTGAAATACATTTCTTAAAGCACTGAAAACAAGACAACAGGGTGCAATCAATCGTCTTCTGATGTTAACTTGTACTTGGAATTAAATATGTAGTTTATAATTGTGTTATTTTTTATTTAGTTTTTTTCTTCTTGGAGGTGAGGGGGGGGCTTACCAAACAAGTTCGTCGGT